TGGTGTTAGATGCAATTGAGAAGATGATGGTTTTATAAATCCCTAATGTGACTTTTAGATCCCTTTCCAAGGGCCTTACGCTCCTAATAGGCGTGTGATACACGCTCTTTGATATCAACTGCCACATAGGATGCCAAGTCAAAAATAGTGCTTAAAATGTTGTGTTTTTTGATGGATTCAGGGGTTTAGATGACAAATGAATAAGTAGAAGGGTTCACAATACAAACTCATACGAGTACAAGGGTCCACCAGATCATTTCGCCGAAAAAGAAACACATGAGAGTAGTAATGAGCAATCAGGTGAAGAAAAAAAAGTGGTGGATTTGCAACTGAGTGGTCAAGTGAAGAAGAAGATGAAAACAGCTGACATAGGTGGTAATCAAAGTTAGAGAAGAAAGCATTGAGCATAGAACAAGTGAGGAGTCAGCTGAAGAACAAAAAGAATTCTAAGGGTGTTCATCAAAAGATAATAGTGATCCTGAGTCTCTTTTGCTTCCAGTAATACGTAAAGATCATTGACATCAAAAAGTATGGGTTTATGACCCCACTTAAACATGTCTGGGCCTTATGATTCAAGGGTCACTGCGAGAGCCTGCTTAGAACTCAGTTTGTTGAGTTTAAAGAGATTTTGATCAGTGAGGCTGTTGACAATAAATTTAGAAAAACTTGTTTTAGTCACTTTTTAAACTTCAAAAAAGATGTAGCGCCTACAACTCTTTCCATTGAAGTTGATACATAGCATTTTTCTTTGCTGGGTCTTCTGTTAAAAGAAAAAGAAGATCTAGAATGACTATAATGGTTTGCCTATTTGTTTTGGCATTAACGAATTCATTGTCATGACTAGACTCCAATGTCACTCTCCCCTCCCTGCACCCCTTAGTCAACAGTTAGCAGAAATTTTGAAAAAAGAGGGTGCAAATTTGGTTGATAAGTGGGGAAGTCTATTGTACTTGTTAAAGAATGACAAAAGTCTCACATCGGTGGTTAATGAGATGGGTGGACTCCTTATAAGGCTTGTGCAATCCTCCTCCCTTTGAGCTAGCCTTTGGGGTGTGAGTTAGGCCCAAGACCTAATTTAACAGTACTCATTGAAAAGATAAAGAATCCAAGGATGATGAAAAAACTGGCAGTGAGCGTGGTTTGGTTCTTGCATAGCATATTATGAGCAAAAGATAATCATTGACTTGTTAAAAGTGGTGTCGAGTAAAAATGAATTCTTTTCATATCCATGGGGTCGAATGCGCTTCAATCTTTCTATATCATTTAGAAGAACTGAATTCATCCAAGAATATAAGGAGATCACCTTTCTATTGGATCTTGGATGGATTCAATTCTTTTAAAAGATATTCAATAGTAAGATTGAAGATTATTTGATTCCCATGAATATGAATCGAATATATTTTTATTCGAAGCCATCTTTAACAGGTTGGTGTCTATCTTTTTTTGTATCTTTTGCACATAATATATTATGCAGGAACCAAACCGCTCACTGTCATCGTTTACTTTTTTGTCAGCTTTGGATCATTTCTATTCTAAATGAGCTCAATAGACTTCTCCACTATATCAACCAAATTCACATCTTTTTTTTCCCAATCTTTGTTAATTGCTAACTGAAGAAGGGAGGGGGGGTTAGAGAATGACATAAGAGTCCAATCATTATAACTAATACATTGATCCCAAAACAAATACGCAAGTCACTGTAACCACACCAAATCTACTACTTCCTCTGTCCCAATTTATGCGACTTACTTTCCTTTTTAGTCAGTCCCAAAAAGAATGACACATTTCTATATTAAGTAATAATTTAACTATAAAACGTCTAGTTTACTCTTAATAAAATAATTTACAGCCACACAAAATTTTATCATTCATTTTGGACCACAAGATTTAAAAGTCTTCCCTACTTTCTTAAACTCCGTGCCAAGTCAAACTACCTCACATAAAATGGGACGGAGAGAGTATTTCTTTTCACAAAAGACTCCGCAAAGAAGAAGGCTACGCATCAGCTTCAGAGGGAGTTGTAGCTCCATATCTTTGTTCAAGGTTAAAAAGCGACCAAAACAAGTTTTTTATAATATCCTTCTTAATACCCTCACTGATCAAAACATTTTTAAACTCAACAAATTGAGTTCCAAAGTTGACACTCACAGTGACCCATGAATAATAAGGCATGACACGTTCAAGTGGGTCTTAAAATCCATACTTTTCACGTCAATAGTCTTGATACATTACTAGAACCGAAAGAGCCTCAGGATCACAGTCATCATTTGAGTATACAGTACCTTTAAAATTATCATAGCCACCAACATCATTATTTGACCTAGCAACAGCTGCTAATTGGGCATCCTTTTTTAATCATGTTGTTTTTATCTATTTTCTGTTCTTTCTAATGTAGCTGCCGCTGAATCCTCAACCAAATTTTTTGCTGATGTGCTCTCATTTCTTTCTTCTTCTCCTTTAGATGAATGCTCACTTGTACTATGATCAACTTTTCTTCAAATCATCAATCATCTGTCTTTATCTTCTTCTTCACACAACTGCTCAGTTGCACTCTCACCATTTTTTTTCTTCTTTGCCTGACTGTTCACCGCTACTCTCATGTGTTTCTTTTTCACCAACTAATTGCTCATTACTTAAAGGCACCACAATTTCCGAAGGTACAAAATCAAGAGCCTTAGTTGTTTGTTCAGCTTTGTTTGCTTCCTTAGTCAACTTTTCCAGTGATGTGGTAGCTTGTTTACTATGTGTACCACAGCCAACTGTCATAACCACTAGCCACCATTTATAGTCATCACCATCAATTATCATTACCATATAATAGCCACCAATCACTATCGACAACAATAACCACCATTAGTCACCACTATATATTTTCTCAATAGGTACCAGGTAACTCTGTCCCACCAAGGCTAGAACAGATAGGAAGAGTCACCTAATATTTTTGTCTTTGGTGGGATTTGAACGTGAGACCTCATGACTCTCAACCACTTCATTGACCACTAGACCACACCCTTGGGTGACCATCAATCGTCACTATATATAACCAACCAACATCATCATTCACCACTAGCATAAGCTATCACTATCATCCACCACAATTATCAACTACCCCAATTAACAACCATCGTTAACCACTACTACAAGTCGACTGTCATCTCTAGCTACTACCTACAACCACCACCATCAGTCAACACCATTCTTAATCGGCACCCACAACCACTATCGCTATCCATCAGCACCACCAACCATTATACAATTTTTTAAAACTATTTTTGTAGTATTACATTTATTTAGTATTTTATATGAATTTTACATTTATTACTCTATGTCTCTATCTATCCTAATGCATGTGACACTTTTTGGATTTCGAAAGTCAAATGAGCTATTTTTGGACCACAAATTTTTTCATACACCTAGAAAATATTTTGAATTGTCACTTATTGTGATCTGTAGTTCTTTTTACATAGTTCTCAAAAATGTAAATTTTATTTATAAATACTTAAAGATTGCATGTACGAATTAACAATCAAAATTCAAAACTGGGTCTCGAAGTTCAAACTGAGTACATAAATTGGGACTGAGGGGATAATTTTTAAATAAAAGACAACTTCTATACATTCAGATGTTGAGAAGACAAACAATTTAAATTATTTAGTATTCATATTTCAGTATTTAGATATATCTATATCCTAATGTACATCTTGATATTTAGATTCATACATTTTAATCTTAATAAAAACATATGAGTTCATTTTGTCATAAATCTTAATCATTCAGAATTATTCAGACTTATTAAATGACCTTGCACCTTTTCATTTGAATGGGAAAAGAAAACCAAAAACAAGAACAAGAAGTGAATAGTCAAAATTTTCCTTCAAAGTTCTAAAATTCTTTTGAAATATGGTTACCAATGAAGAAAAGTGTAGGCTTACGCACAACTGTCCTAGTACTTCCTAGTTTAATCAAACTTCAGAAAAATACAAGAAATGTCAAACATGTTGCACTTTCTATCACTTGGGAGTTTGGACCAGACAAGTTTTGTTGATAAACTAGTTATTTATGCCCTGCATTCTTTTATAATTATGAAGATTTAGAACCTAATAGTTGATAACTAGCAGTGCAATGCCTCTGAATATGATGCAATTCTACTATTAACTGTGATGCCTATGGGAATCATATTTGGAGTTCAAGCTGTTAAATAAAACCTCAGTGACATATGTGTTCCAGGCATTGAAACATGAGGGTGGAAGATTAGCAAAGAAATGTAGACCACCTAATTGTGAAATATGGGTCAGGGGTTTGACTCACAAGCAGGCCTCCATTCTTATAAAGGGTAATATGATGTACAACCTCACCCCCCATCCCCAAACAAAAAACCACTACTAGCAAGGGCATTTACACTAGACTGTCAATAGATATGAACATTCATGGCTTTAGGTGATAAGAAAAAATAAGTTGATAATTGTACTTCAATTGACAAGCTATGGCCAGTCTGCAGAATAGCTTCAGGAGCCATCCAGTATGGCGTACCCTTCATTGACTTTGTAACGGTCATAATAGCAAGCCTAAAACAGTTTGACAATTCAGTTGTCAATAAATATCTCAAGAAGCAAAAACAAAATGAATAAGGCAGCGAAGCCAGAAATGCCCCTACCAATTCAACAACCTTCTTTCATACACCAAATTCAAAGATAGTTTGATGCAGCCTTTAATGTAAACTGGTATGTTTACTCCCTAGATGAATTAAAACACACATCTCATTGGATTCAGTATGAAATGGAGATTCGTGAATGGAGTAGAGCAAGTTAGAATATCCAATAACTAACATACTGAATGAAAGAATTACCTTAATAATAATTGCATGGTATACATTCTTATAACCTGATTTGCCAAACAAAAGATGGAGCAAGAAGATTTCAGGAATTTAAAAGGCAACATTGTGTTCCAATAAGCATATGTTCTAGTTCCAGTTGCATCATGTTAAGGCATATGGAAATAAACAACTAATGGTACAGATGGAAAGCAAAAGACCACAGAAAGGTGTTGTTCACTAATTTATCAGCCAAACAACCCACAAGAATAAGTTTATTATTAAAAAAGTAAGAAAAAGGAAACAAAACAAGGTGTTTAACCTCCCTTATTTCATTTAGCGAGAATAGTAGCAAGCACTTATAGATTCAGGGAAAGATCCAAGTTTTCCCAAAAAATGACAAGATTGAATCCCCAGGAACAAATTCCAGTAATTTATTTAATGATCATGCCTTTCTTGCAGTTCTCAGATATGCCTGAGAAGCAATACTGCAACAACACATACCCAGTGTAATCCCAAAAGTTGTATCCGAAAAGGGTAGAATGTATGCAGACCTTATCCCCAGGCAGAGAGGTTGCTTCCAGTAGACCCTCGACACAAGGAAAAACATTTCAAAGTAAGTCGAAAAAGAAATAACGAGATCTCTGAGAAGCAAAAAGCAATAGAACAGTAAAACAATCTTCATCACACCCTAACTTGAGACAATATAGAACCATGCTAACGATTATGTTGGAATGGGAGAGATTCTTAAAAACTAAGTTGCTCGGACTCTCCGAAAATGATGCCGAACCCGTGTCGGATCCTTCAAAGTTACACTATTTTTGGAGGATCTGACACGCACCCGTTGTCGACATTTTGGAAGAGTCCGAGCAACATAGCTTAAAAATATCCAGTTCTTCTTCAAGCTCCCCAAACATGAGTCAGACTCTTAAAATTGTCAATTTCTCAGGTTGCACCCATTGAGATTTTTTAAAGCAAGAAGCCAGGATCCTTGACGTAGAACTCACAAAGTCATTTATCAGGGAAAAAGTAACTAATGTACTTGGCATTGGGAAATTTTTTCTTTAAATTTTGTCTTAAGAAATCATTTTTGGTCCAAAGGGTGGGTGACAAACGGATTTCTCGGTTATCAAAAAAAAAAAATAGTAAGTGACATATGATAATCGTACAAGGTGGAATTTAGAGTATGAGGAGAATATTTGGTGATACTTTTGATGTGAAAAATTGTGAACAACATCCAATTGTTAACTGAACTAAACCACAATTTGAAAGGCAAAAAAATTTCATTCATATGTGATGGAAATCAATCACCTTTAGTGAAAAATATAACAATTCTATGCAACGAAACACTAGAAATTGATTTCATCAATAAAAACATTCTCTTACAAATCATTCTCAATTTTATCAAACGCAATCCATAATTAACTAGTTTAATATTTATGCAACAATTTAACTCAATTTTGTCCCCTCACCCTATCTAAAGGGATAAGGAACAACATTAAGCTATTACGTCAATCAAAATCTCTTACTTCCCATTGAAGCACCATTAGCAGCAAAAGAAACATTCATTTTGGAAAATCCCAAATTTCAGCAGCATAAACACATATTTCCTTTTCCAACCGTGATAACGTAAAAAAAAGTTGACAGAGAAGCAGTTAAAGCGGAAATTTTACCTCCGACCATGCGAGCGAGTAACTCTCTGGAATCAACATTCATCCCCCATATAAACCCTTCCAAAAGCACCGCATCTTGCAATTGGCGGAAGAGCACATATTCGAGTCTTTGACAAAAGTCCATACTTGATTTCGGAACCAATCTTCGCCTCCAAAGGACTCTCATTTTCCAATTCTCTGCATTTTGCGACAGAATTGGGAGGAGACAACTAAAACTTTGAGGAGTGGAAGAGGTGACAGAAAAAAAATGTGTCTACTAAAAACATAAATACCTACTTGGAACCGTAATTTTGAACCCCTAAATTACTGCACAAATTCTTAAATCTTCTATCTATCTATCTATCTATCTATCTATCTGTCTATATTATATTACCTTAAAAAAAGCATGAATTCTTAACTTAAATGTTAAATTACTATAGTATCCCTAATTTAGGTTGTCACTTTTTCGATGAGTTGTGACTTTTTCGATAAGTTGTGACTTTTTTCGAAGGATTGTGATTTGTCGATAAGTTGTGACTTTTTCAATAAGTTGTTACTTTTCGAAAGAGTTGTGACTTTTCAATAAGTTATGACTTTTCCCAAGGGTTGTGACTTCTCGAAAAGGTCATGACTTTTCAGATAAGACACAAAAAACATTTGTTCATATTACCCTTTGTTGACTATAAATAGAGGGGTTTCCTCTCAGTTTTCAACCACAATTTTTTTTAATCTTCTACTCTTCTTCTTGCATTTTAAAATTTTTTGTGTGATTTATTGTCGTTGAGTGAGTTCAAAATTTAGCGAAATGTGAGGTACCACTATTCTGATGAAGTAAGTCGTTCTATCCTAAGAGAGTATATTCCATAACCTCGAGTACTTGAGGAAATAATTTGATGATATAATAATTATTTTTTCGCTTAATATATACATCAGTATGTAACGTTCCAAATGATGTAGTCTAAATTCATTTATTTTTGTTAGCAATTTCTCTTGTGATATAAATATATGCTTCTGAATATCTTTTCCAAAATTTAGAGAATTGTCACGATTTTTTTTTATGCTCAAGACAAATGAATGACTTTATTTATCAATGTTACTTATGTGATTTAGACTCTCAGGATTTTTTCTTCAAAATAATTATTACTATATTAACATTGTCCTTTTGTTTTACTTATTTACTAATTCTTAATATTTCAGTATTTTAGACGAGGAAAAGTTCATATGACTTGTAATAATGCCGGTTGAAGTTTGTATTAGTAATTTTTATTATTTATTTAATAGTTAATTTTATGAGATAAATATTTTCATTAATGCAAATATATATTTATATTTGGGTAGGTATTTGTATTTAAATTAAAGTATTATATATGTCACAAATGTATTATCAAGTTAACAAGATAATCTAACTTCAAAATATATTATTTTAAAATGTTCCGAGTTTTCACAACAAATGTGAAAAATATGTGAATATATAAAATGTAGTTGTTCACTTCACATGTTCATATGACATCTAAACAATTTAATGTGAAATACACATGCAAAACACATCTGGTTAGATGACAACAAAAATACAAAGTAAATATTGCCATAAGGTAATATTAGTGGCATAAGAGGTTTGCCTGAATAAGAGATATATATATGACGATCCACATTGAACATTCACAAAAGAATGTGCAATATTATTTTTTGCTAAGCTTATTATTCAAATCTTTGCTTAAATAAGCACTACTATTTACTATAACATATATTTTTGAATTGGTATTCACGTGCAATGCACGTGTCAAAAACTAGTATATATATATATTTATTTATTTATTTATTTTCACGGTGTATTGTATAATATAGTATGTGATGTAGTAAAATGGAATTAATATTACTATATTAAAGCTTGAAAGAACATAAGAAAAATGCTTTTAAATGATTAATACAGATTGTCAGAGAGTTACTTGTTTTTTAAGATCAAAATGACCAGATATCATTAAAACATTTCAAAATACATTCAAAGTTTAAATATGGGGAAAAAGTGTCATTTCTTTAGTAGTATTGTCTTTTACCTCATTCAATTTTATAAACAAAATTAACCAACGAAATAGAAAAAGAAATATCAATATAAAAAAGATCACCAATAACTTTTTCTCTTGAGGTTATGACCATAAATGATGGACACCAGTAATTACAATTTTTCTCTTAAATATTCATACTTAAAAATTGGTATGTGCATGACACTAATAATGATTACCATAAATATTTTAATATTTTATCTTTACACGTAGTATATCATTACAAAATGTTATTACTCAATTAATATTTGAGTAAGGCTATTATAGAGCAAAATTTTATTTAAAAAATGTACTTGTATAATGAATGTCAACACTCTTATAATAGAATGTTATAGAGACAAAAAATATAACATAAAAAAATTGTTCTAAAAAAAATTAGGTTGTTACACTGAAATTTTGGTATAATGAATTATAGTTACATAGAGGTTTGAGTGTATGTCATATATTTAGTTTGACCAACTCTTTGTTTTAGATCTATATATTTCACTACCATAATTTAATGTTAATATATGAACAACATCACCTATGGTGAAAAATATTTCATTTCTTTAAGTTTCTACTTTATCTCTGTGGAATTTTAGTCTTCTCCTTTTTTCTACCGCATACATATCATATAGTTGTTGTCTAATGAAAGTCTCTAGTATCTTATATAAGTTGTATCGTGATATAAAATATTATACTTTTTCAATAAAAAAATTAATAGATGAATAAAATTTAAAGTATTATTTATAGAATCTTTAATTTGATTTAAGATCATTTTATGATCAATCGGAATTTTTTAAATCTATTTTTATATAGCTAGCACAAAGTGTATCTTGTGAAATAACATTTTTTAAGATTAAAATAAACACAAAATAAAAGTAAATTCATACCTAAAATTATTTAAACTCAATATAAATATAAAAATGAAAAAATATATGGACAATTCATAGCCAATGAAGAAGGTAGCGAAAAATATATGTTCATGTTATATTCTCTCTAGTATTATATTTGATTGAAATCTCTTGCCACCAATACTTTATTTTCTCTGTTCATTTTTACTTACATATTTCTTACAAATAATTATTATCATAACTATGTTATCATATTATAAGTAAAAATAAAACTCTATTTTTGAATTGGTGGACTTAACATCAAAACTAATAATTTAATGGACTACGTTTATGCCCGTTGTTTTAGAAAGATTAGGAACAAACTCCTTCGCTTGAGGGTAAACAAATAAAGAATGAAAAAATAAAGAAAAATATTTTACCTCAATCATGTGTCCTTTTACGTATTTGTTTATTATTGATGAAAAAACAAAGAAGAAACAATTGATACATGATTTGCTACAATTTGTTCACCAATTCTTTCTTATGTGGTACCTCGAATTTCGTTGAATTTCGAACTTAATCAATTGTTGCAAATAATACTTGAGACTTTTTAAGTAGAAGAAGAGTAGAAAACTTACAAAGATTGTAGTTTAAAAGTAAGAGGAACCCCTTCTATTTATAGCTAACAAATAGTAGCATGAATAAGTGCTAATTGTGCCTTATCAGAAAAGTTACAACCCTTGAAAAAAGTCACTGCTCACCGAAAAATCACAACTCATCGGGAATGGCACAACCCTTTGAAGAAATGACAATAATTCGAAAAAGTCACAACTCATCAGAAATGTCACAACCCGTCTAAAAAATTCTCAATCCTTCGGAAAAGTCACAACCCTTTAATATGAAAAGATATCTACTTTTAATATAATACAATTAATTAAATCAATAAATAAAACAAATTGAGTATTTTTAATTAGGATATTATAATAATTCAACATTCAAGTTTGAGAGTTCATGCTTTTAAGGTGGTATAGAAGATATAGATAGATAGATAGTTATAGTCATATATATATATATATATATTATAAAGTTTTTTTAAAATATTATCTTATATACATTGTATAATTTATTGTCGAAAGGTTCGGGTGAACACACTAATCTCCTCTAGATCCACCCTTGCCTATGCTACCAAAAAATCCATAGAGCTTGTATTGTATGTACCTACAACTTTGGGAGCGGAAGAAGAATTATACAGCAGAATACTCACTTCATCTTAATTTGTTGATCACTCTTTTCTTTCTTTATTGATGTAAAAATTAAAATTGAACACGAGATACAATAGGTAAAAGATAATATTTTTGAGTCATTTTTGGAATCACTTCTTAATTCTTATATCTTAGTCTAGTTGCCTCATTTGTTTACACTTTAATGAATTCTTACAATCTATTTTGGTCTTATTTATTAAGTGTATTTGTTTATTTTATAAGTACTTAATTAGTTTGAATGATTAGCACTTATACTAATATTTTTATATAATTAAGATATTTATTTAAGAATTTTTAGAAAGATTGTCCGTTTAACACACCTTCATCAATTTTTATCGCGTGCTAATTGGCATTACTGCTCATTATTATCAATTATCATATTCAATCATAACATATGATAACCACCATATCGTCATTCGTCAATCACCACGATCAGTTGTCAATTGTCACCATCTCTAGTCATTATTTATGATAATCACCACTATTACCATATAACAACACTGAGCGATTCTCCACCTTATAATGTCCTCCCACGTTTCCCTTTCCTTGCCCCAAAAGTTTGAACTCTGGATCAGTGCAACATCAATGATGACAGGAACATGAGCTTTCAAGAGTTAGCGTTAGAACAGAAACTGTTGCCAGGGCGAAACACATGCATTATTAATTTATAATTATTGCTAGCGAAAGCCACAGGCACGCCTGGCTAAGAGTAGAATTTACTTCATCTCAAAATAAAATTTCATTTTTACTTGTCCACTATATTAAAAATAGTCACTTTTACTTATTTAATTTGAAAAAACAAAAAAATAATTTACCATTTTATACTTGTTTTACCTTATTATCAAGTACTAATTTGGGATGATATAATAACATTACCATTTTATTACTATTTCTTAAGAGGGTACCAAATCAAAAATGGAGAAGGAATATTATCTTCTTTCACATCAAGCAAACTTAATTTAATTTTCAAAGGTCCACATGTACTCCACTATGTAAAGAACAACAATGAGAGATACAAAAATATCAACATCTTCACCAAGAAATAGTAATAATCACCATGCTCTACTAATTCCCCTATATAAATCTCCCTCTCTTGCTCTTTTTACTAACCAAATTTACTTCCTACATAAAAAATGGCTTCTTTTCATATGTACACCACTCTTTCCATAATCTTTTCATTAATCCTCTTGTCCCCTTTTTCCAATGGAGTTTTTCATGAAGAAATGTCTGATATTCTAGCCATGAATTTAAGAAGTCAAAAAACAAGTCACCTCCATTTCTACTTCCATGATATCCAAAGTGGAAAAAATCCTTCAGCAATCAAAATCATTTCACCGGGTGGCGGAGGAATATATGGTTTTGGCAACACTTTCATGTGTGATGATGCATTAACCATAGGGCCTAATGCATCAACTGAGGTTGTAGGAAGGGCTCAAGGGATTTACGCGATGGCTTCACAGAGCGAATCTGCATTGCTTATGACAATGAGTTTTGAGTTCACACAAGGCAAATATAATGGGAGCAGCATAAGTATTCTTGGGAGAAATCCATTTATGAGAGATGTTAGAGAGATGCCTATTGTTGGAGGCACTGCACTCTTTAGGTTTGCTAGAGGCTATGCATTGGCTCATACTTTTTGGTTTGATGCCAACACTGGAGATGCTATTGTGGAATATAATGTGTTTGTTCAACATTATTGAAGTGAGAATTTGTGCTTATAAAGTAGTTAGTAGTCACAGGCACAATGACTTTACTTTTTCTTAATTATTCCATCTTTAGCAAGCTTGTTTAATTTCTTCTCTCTTTTTTTTTACTTTTTCTGAATGTTCTGAAGTGATGTCTTATTTATATCAAAGAGTTTTGCCGCTAATGTTTTATCAATTCACCAAGAAATCTATCAACTCCAAGCACAGTAGATAGAAAAACTTCTCAATTAGTGGACAAACGACAAAGTATCCACAAACTCTTGGTAATGTATAAAATCAAAGAGGAACCAAAACTACATAGTTTTTTTTAGTTCACTTGCAAAGAAGTAGATGAAAAGTGGACAGCCTAGGGGTACATAAGACATCATGAAAAAAGTTCGATTTCACGTCGAAATCCATTTGTTCGATCAAACATCAATTCTTGATGAAATTATGTTAGAATCTGTTTAGTAGTTACTCTCTATTTCCTTTCTTCAAGGAATTTGTCAATGCTACCATACCAATTCCACTGGAAACATAGACCAACAACACGTAATATTCCAGCAGCTATCACTTCGATAAATGCCATCAGGAATGATCTCTGAGGAGATAGACCAGCAGTTGCGATGGAAAGAAAGAATCCCTCAAAGTTGCAGGGGACAATGAAGTTTCCTGATTTAAGGCCATTCAAAGCTTTCTTTGCAACTTCATCAGCTTTCATGGAACCAGAAGAAGCTGCTAGTATACTAGTCAACTGTGGCCTCCTCTTGTTCTCTGCAAAAGGATTAAACTTAAATTATTGCAAATGTAAACTGATTATCAATCAGGTAAGTTCAAGGACCTATCGGGTACATTCGACATTGTGCACATGAATTATTGGGGGTACAACACACACAATGATGTTGATGTCTCCCAAGGTTCAATATTAGTGCATACATATAGACATGTGCATTCATCACAGTTCTTTTTTTTTGGATTGGTAAATAATGCACTATTAACTAAGATAGAAAGAGCACTAAGCAGGTTCACACAAAAAAATGCAGCTACATGTAGTCAGGATTAAATAGAATATAGAGAAAAAACTGAGAAACTAAAATATACAAAATAAAACAGAAAACAATATCACAGCCTAAGTATCATAACAAAGGAACTCTATAACTCGCATAAGCATGTCAACCCCTTGACCACATTCTTTTATAGTAAAACGAAGCAGAGGCCATACACATTAAGCTTCAAACTGTTCTAGACCTGTATTATCTAAATAGATCTTAAGACACTGAAATACAGCATTTAACATCCTGTCAGGTTCTACAGAATCATCATGTTTCAAGATTTTACATAACCCATTGAGTTACCATAAAGGTTAGCTAATATGTGCAGTACATCATGAGCTAATCAACGAACAAATATTTTCTGGCTCTGTTCCTCCAATCATGAAGAACAAATTGGCTAAACATTTTGTGCTATCCCATGCTTACAACTAACAGTTCTCAATAATTGGTTAAAAGACCAGTGCTATCATCATATTTATTGTCAATTTGCTTGATCCAGACATTTGTGTTCTCTGAAGGAAGATAAAAAATAAGGGATTAAGGGAAAGGATGTATAACTAACATATCGACTTAGAATCAGAGGTAGATCGTAGCATTTAGCAATAGTACATAGATAAACATGATGCAAGAAGAAAGCAGTGTGTTTGTTGCCCCCCACCCAACCCCAACATGTAGCATAGCATCTAATTCGTGCATTGTGACATGCAGTGATAACAACAAGAAACAGAGTAGGAATTGTTCAGGTCCAACCTTCAGCAAATCCAGGAGTTTCAGTGTCCGGGGGAAATATTAGTGATACGTGAATATTTTCACCAATTACTTCCTGCTGCAGTGCTTCTGCCAGTCCTTTGAGGCCGAACTTACTGGCTGAATAAGCTGTATAACCATATATCCCAACCTAAGACAAAACAAAATACTAAATAAACCAAATCAGATAAGAATAAAAATGGTTATATACAAATATATAAAGAGAAAAGATTTTCTCAGCCCATTTTAGCGAGGTTTGCTAATGTGAACTGTCAGCACTTTTTTTTTTTTATGACAAGGGAAACCCGCAGCCGCTACCCTTTGGGTGCGCACAGGGTAAAAACCCCGCTCCTATGCAATATCTCACAAACCACATAGGAGAAGTAACCCGCATTAGGCAAGCCCGGTGCAACGAGCTCAACCCAGAAGCAAACCCCTTGCTTTCGCTGGCAAGGGGTTTCGAACTTGAGACCTCCAACATGGAAGTCCCAAGCCCAAACAATAATCAATTTCTGGTAAGGAGACACAATTGGAGAAGGAATTGATTATGCCGAAGGATGGTATTAGCTATAGATTGCAAGAAATTATTGTACGTAGGTTTCTAAACTATTGACAAACTTGCCTAGCAGAGTAGCTGCTGCTTTGCATGTGTCTGTGTCAGATTCTTGGTGCTTTGCTAGTGATGACTGTAACTTGTACGTGTCACACTCACCAATAATTCTCATGATTAAAAGCCTAAGCTATATATTACGAAGAATTGTAGTAGCTTAGTTAGTTGACTATCTAAACTCCGCAATTAAACATTAAAGTTGACGAAAAGGAGAATTCAGAAGCTGAGAGATATGACATAAAGCAGACAAAAGATTTTAAATTGGGACATACTGTATTATGTAAGTAAGAAAGAAGAAACAGAAATGGTTGAGCTCACAAGAACATCAACAATTTACCTTTGTCCTGCGTGTCTGAGAGAGGTAAAAAAGTAGTACTAGTCTAAAGTAAGTGGACAGCATCAAACAGTTAGAATTTTTTTTTGTAGAAAAAGAAGACTTTTGAGTAAGACAACCACCAAGATGGAGAGAGAGGAAAAGAAAAAGCAACAAGAGGAAGAAGAATTGTTGGTAGTTAAGTTGAAACAAGGTGTTTTCGTAGGGAAAAGAGGGGGTACTGGTACTACTCCATCACCTACATGGAAAATTGGTTTGGCACAATCTGATGGTTCTCTGCTTCAAGATTTTCCCTTTTCTTCCAATTCTGCTTCACTATCTGTCAGAAAAGTTGGTGCCAATCTCTGGGAATTTCAACCACAAGTGAGAAAGGTTGTCAAGATGAGCAAGATTGGCCCTCTACCTCAAAATCACAAAGACAAATCTAAGCTTCACAGCCAAACAGCTTCCCCACCTGATAGCCCACCACAGCAGATCAAGTACAAAAAACTTTTTTTTTTTTTAAGTCCAAACTGCATATTGTATTTTTTATTATATATAAATAGGAGTTCTGTGAAAATTATTGCTTTTTGCACAATTAATGTGCACTGACTCACTGACTCTAGATGCTGAATTCGCCATGACCATTTTCTGTTATACCATGCCAATTGCATCATAGGTTAGAAAGACAAACAGAACATATATGTTAGTAGTCAATAGTGTAGGTTGTTGTGTTGATCTTGGGAATGCTTAGTTACTGATAAAACTTTCTACAAAGTTCATTGTCTGCCAACTTCACTGAAGAGACAAAAGGATGTCTATTTGGTTCATTTCTGCTAAACTATAAAGTGCCTAATCAGAAGTTCTCTAACTTGCAACCAGAAAGCAATAACCTGATTAGTCATGTTTCTTTTTTGTTTTTGCAGCCAACAAGCACTAGTAGTTTAGGGAGGGATATTGCTGCATCACTTAGATAACATCATCATCATTTAATTGCGAAGAATGGGGGCGCTCAATTGCTTGAATCACCACTATCCCCCTCTGGATAACGCTACCAGGGCTTCCAGTGGGCTATTGGTCTAGTGAGGAATTAAGCAAGGGGAAAAGTGCCATAGGGAAACCACTCTACACTGACAGCTTCACAGCATCAATGACACAAATTTCATATGCTAGAGTACTAGTTGAAGCTGATGTCTCACAACCACTTCTGGATTCTATTGACATAGTGACACCAACAGGCTCAATTCAGCAGCAAATTGAGTATGATTGGAGACCAAAATTTTGCAGAGTGTATGAAATTTGGGCACAAAGCTGAAGCATGCTGGAATGCTGAAATGGCTGTACATGAAGAACCTAAGTTCCAAGAAGTTAAGAACAAGAGAAGGAGAAGGAACAGGAAAGCAAAGGGTGTAATTCAGCAGGATATGCCAATTACTAGCAGAGTAGTAGTGGATAAACGGAGGATGGATGCGCCAGCTAATATCACAAACTCAACTCAGTCAATTGAAGGTTTGCAAACAGAGGCACAAGTAAAGGTTGTAAATAGTTATGCAGCTCTCCCGGAAGAGGAAGTCACTCAGAATGGAGACCCTAGAGGGACTCTTATCCCTTGATGATTATCTCTACCTGGAACATACAAGGGCTAAACCAGACCTTGAAACAGAAAGAGTTGAAGCTCTTTCTGCAAAAGAATAAGATAAATGTTATGGGTGTCATTGAAACTAGAACACAAATGCATACATCTGGGAATATACTAAGAAAGGTAGTGCCTGATTGGAACCATCGCTCAATTACCCTTTGGCCTATAATGGTAGGGTAAGGCTACTATGGAGGGCTCATATACAGGTACAAGTATTGGTATCCCATGAACAATATATTCATTGTAAAGTCTCAGATGCAAATGGAAACTTCTCAGCTTATCTCACAGTTGTTTATGCCAAGAATGAAAGCCAGAATAGAGAGGAGATGTGGAGGGACCTAGTTCAAATTGGGAGAGGAATCCAGGAGGCTTGGTTGCTATGTGGGGACTTTAACAATGTTCTAACTACTGAAGACAGAATTGGCTCCCCTGCTTTACCAGGAGAGACACGAGTTTTTCAAGGATGCATTGACACATTGCAACTGACAGCTCTAAGACAATCAGGGAGACACTTCACATTTTGCAATAGGCAGCAAGATGGGAGTAGAGTATACTCCAACATAGATTGGGCTTTTGGAAACTTTCAACGGACAGTGACTATGGGCATGTGGAGGCTGAGTTTTGGAATCCACGAGTATCTGATCATTCACCAGTTGTTATTCAAGTGAGCACAAGACCCACTTCTGGACCAAAACCCTTCATATTATTCAAAACAGTCCTTGAGCATCCTGAGTTTGAAGGGATTTTGACAACTGTGTGGAACAAAAGATACATTGGTACTAGAATGAGTCAACTATGGAGCAAACTTAAAGCATTAAAAATAGGACTGAAGGACCTGAATACTTATTTGGCTTCTTACCGCCAGAAGCTACAAACAGCTAGACAGAGTTTGGAAATAGTACAAAGTCAGGTTGTAACTCAACCTCTCAACAGTGTGTTAATAGAGCAAGAATCAGTCCTTTTGAATGATATCAGGAAATGGAGCTTAGTGGAGGAGCAGGTTCTCAAACAGAAATCTAGAGTTAATTGGATTGCCATTGGAGATGCAAATACCAAGTTCTTCCATGCTCAAATGAAGATTAGAAGTAGTAAGAACACCATTACTTCTGTTTATATCTAATGGGATTAAACTGCAGGACCCTAAGCTTGTGAAGGAAGAGTTTATTTCAAACTTCACTAAATTGATGGGAACAGCTGTGGTGGATTTGCCATGCCCGAAAGTGTATGTTATAAGTAATGGCCCCTGTTTATCATACCAACAGAGATGCTTGCTTATAATTACAATCACTGATGAGGATATTGTGACAGCAATGGAAGGGATGGCCCTAGATAAGACCCCAGATATTGATGGATTCCCAGTGGAATTCTTTACTAAGCATTGGACCACTGTTAAAGAAGATGTATTATGTGCTGTCAGAAAATTCTTTACTACTGGGAAGCTGCTGAAAGAGGTTAGCCTTACTGCCATTACCCTTGTGCCTAAGAAGGCTACCCCTACACAAGTAGCAGACTACAGACCTATTGCTTGCTACAAGATCATCACAAAGATCTTGACCAACAGAATCAAGCCTATTATAGGTTCTATTGTTAGTCCTCTCAGTATGCATTTATAGAGAGGAGAAGTATCATTGATGATATTCTATTCTGTCATGAGGTACTGAAATGATATTCTATGAAGGGACTATCCCCTAGATGTGCGAATGAACGTGGACTTACGAAAAACTTATGATTCCATTGAATGGGAGTTCATAAGGAGATTGCTTGCTAAATTGGGCTTTCCCTTTAAGTTCACATCTTGGATGATGGAGTGTATATCCACAGTCCCTTATTCTCTAGTGATAAATGGGGGTCTATCTAAACAATTCAGAGGGGAAAGTGGAATTGGACAAGGGGATCCTATGTCCCCTTACCTATTTGTATTGGCTATAGAATATCTTCAAAGGGAACTGAGCATGCTGAGACTCAATAAAGACTTCAAATATCACCCAAGGTGCAAGAAATTTAATGTGATAATACATTTGATCATCCACAACAATAATCTACTCCATAAGGCCCTAGTCACAGGACACCCAAAGTAAAGATGGTCATATATGAATCACATTAAATTTCTTTAAGGAAGCATTTTCCATGGTGGGTCTTTCGGTTAAATTTTTTATGATGAATACACGTAAATGTGACTGCATAGAGGGAAACAAAATTAAAATAAATTGGGCAATTGTGATGATCAACTCTTAACTTATTTTCATTGTTTCCCCAAAAACTCCTAGATGAGATAAAAAATAAAATTGCAATAGAGATTAGATATCAATCGGAACAGAAGATGAAAAAAGCTCCTGCTGAAAGTGTCTCCTTGCAAAAAATCTTCATGAATTGTGTACTAACGAGAGTACTACAAAATCATTAGATTGCCCACACTTTCCCAAAATACCATCCTCAAAGAATAATGAGTTCCAAACTTTAAGTGAATAAAGAGACGAAAGACACTACTTGAAATGTATTTTTGCTAGTAACTTTAGCATGAAAAAGTTTACATGAAGTGCTTATCTGCAAATGTTGATACCATAGTAGTTACGAGTTCAGATACTTTTGTAACAGTATTATAGCTTGCAACTACTCCGTGTGCTTCTAGTTTGGAATTTTACAGTATTAGATGGTAAATAAACTTGTGATGCTAAAACTGAAACTATTAATAGGATATTTAATTAAAGAAAACTTCAATATCCTTGGTGGACGTAAGCAAATGGGTAAAGTAGAAAATAGAAAACCATCCAACATTTTCCAGACTCCGAAATCCGGATTTAAGAACCAATAGCACAAATCGTATCTTGACTAAATCTGGTGAATTTTAGAGATTGAGACAGACTTTATAATGCTTTGTAATTCTTTAATCATCTCAGACTGTATGACACCAATTCTACCTTCATTTCTCAATCTATTTATACCAGAAAACTGGGGTAAGATCTTCGAAAATTAACCACAAATATAAACAGTGATCAGTACGACGTCATCTACATTGTTATCAAGTTCAAACCATATTTTGTTCCGAATACGCTCTCAGCTCAACGTATTGTGATAGACATACCAGAGGCCAATCTTTATTATAATAAGACAGGTTAAGCTCCCAACAGAAATATACTCTGGAGCAGTTTAGCCTTCATGTCCTTATCTCAAAACTAGTTACTCCTTCTCCTGCTTCATATAGCTGTTACTAAGCATTTTTCTTTGACTAACATCTAACCTCAACCTAAATTCTTACATGGCAGATAGCAGAAGTGGTTGAAGAGATGTATTCAAGTTAACCAAAAGAGTATAATGCAATCAAGCATGTTCATAAATTACCGCCAAACATGCTCTTGATTTAGTGCAAACTACACACAAGAATACATTAGCCCCTAATGTCCTTAAGTCCACCGGTCTACCCACTTGGCGGCAATGCTAGATTACTTTACTATTTGTTTCATTACAACAGAAAATGTTTGAAGAAATCCTCTTTTGGTTTTTGGTTACCTTACAAAATTATAATTCTCCCAAATACTTCCACCAATATGGGAAACTGACTGATACGGAACTTAGTATCTATGCCCCTTTCTTTTCCTAGTTTAATTTCCCATTTGTTTTTATTTCATTTTCAGCACACTTCATGAAGAAAGTTTGTTTACTCTGCAGACACTGTAAAGCAGATGTTGCAGCAGAAAACATCTGCAACATGGAGGCCACTTAACATTGCTGTTGAGAAGGATAGTTCATTATGGAATTGTATTTTAAGGAAAACATTTTCCTCCATTTCTAACCACTTCAAAAGTAAGTTTAACCTTTAAATCAGACATCTATAAGGTTATATCTTTGCTAGACCATTGAAATTGAGACTTGAACAGAAGGTAGAACATACCTGGCCAGCTTGTGAAGACATGATAGCGATGGACCCAGGTCCACGATCAGCCCTATTCTTCATTCCAGGCAAAGCAGCTTTAATCAGGTGAAAAGTCCCAGTCAAATTGACATCAATCATGAACTTGATCTCCTCAATATCTTGGGTCTCCAATTCCTGAGGGACAAAAACTCCCTGATTGCACACCAACACATCGATTGGTCCTGCCTCTTCTACAGCCTTCTTGACAGCCTCATAGTCTCTCACATCAGCGCTGAAAATGGCCACGTCACGGCCAGTAGAAAGCCGAATTGACTCCTTCGCATCTTCGAGTCTACCAATGTTACGAGCAAGTATTGAAACTTTTGCACCTTCTGAAGCAGCCTGTTGAGCTAGAGCTAAGCCAATACCGCTTGAGCCGCCAGTGATGAAGACATGGCGATTTTTAATTGGAACTTTGACGGGGCGTGGTCGGACGATGAAGGCGAGGAAAACAAGGAGGGATAGAGAGAAGAAAAGGAGGAGGAGAGAGAAAAAAGCAATGCTCAAGTCCGCCATAGACGAATAGTTGCAGAAAAATCTTAGGTTGCCTTTGTACCTGCAATACGAAGATCAGCGCGATTCGGGTTATGAGCTTTGGAATTTCAAATCTGATTTCAATGAATTCAGATCAACGATTTGGGATTTCACCATTGCAAAAATTTTAAATATTAAATTTTTGATTTAGAACTTTAAAAAATAATTAAAGTTTTAACTATTAAATTTTTATTTGAGATAAGTGTCAAAACACACTTAAACTATTTTATTTTTTTTAGTTCCATACCTAAAATATTGAGAATGTGAGTTCATACCTAAAGTATGAGAAACACACATCTCTATCTTTTATTTGAAAAAACATTGACGCATGGCATTTCACATGGATAAAATATTCCACCCATCCTCCCCCCAGACAATCCCCCATTCTTTTATTTTTTTTAAATTTCTTTTATAAAGTATTTTTAAAAAATTCATCATTCACCCTCCCCTCCCCCCAAACCACCCACTCATTCCCCAAAAAAAAAATTGATATTATTTTATTTTAAAAAAATAAAAATTCTACCCATCCTATTTAACCTCCGCTCCTAATCTATTTATTTATTTTTACATTTTTCTCGTTTTGTGTTAAAAAATAATTACATATTTTTAGCATAAATATTATTAATATATCAGTTTAGTAGCCAAAATAAATCCCACTTTTTTCTCATCCTCAAAGAACATTACCCTCTCCTACATAACTAATATTCTTTTTTCCTCAAAAAATGTTAATAATGGTGGTCACATAAAGATTCTCTTTTTTCCCCTAATCACTTTGTTTCTTTTATTTCTTTTTCTTTTTTTTTTGTGTATTAGCAAAAAAATAATTTTGTCCTTTCCTTTATCTGATGTCTTTGTCTTTTTATATTGGCAAAATTCTTTCTATTAAATCATTATTTGGATATATTATAAATTTAGTTAGCGATGCTTATGTATTTTCTATTTCAAAGGTATATATGATTGCCCATGTATTACACATATTTAAATAGAATGTATAATAATTTTTTTAGTTGCTTGCATTACATTGTATACATACAATTCTTATTTTTGTATTATATACATATAAACAATACTGGAATTGTGGTCGACATTATTGTTTGTTTATGCCGTTTAATTTGATAAAATATAAGGAGAATATAAAGATGCAACAAAGAAATTTTAGTAAGCTATAAAGTAAGCAAGAATGACCTTTACCAATAATCATTCAAGAATGTGTTAAAAGAAGCTGACTTGGGAGATAAACTCTCCAATCCACCAAACAATGTGTTTCTTTTTCATTTCAAGGAAGCTATGTATCCTTTTGTCTTACAAGGAATGAGTGGGTGGGGAAAGTAGGTAAGAATTTTAAACAAACAACAATATAGCTTTCCATTCATGAACCTACGAAAAGCTCAACTGTGATAACGTAGGACTATGGAGTATGAGAAACCAGAGAGCTTGAGCGTTGGAAGAACAAAGAAAGTCGGCAAAGAGATCTTGATCAACCATAGTAAGCTGTCACTTTGATTTTCTGGTTTTAAAGTTAAGGGAAGTGAGAATTCAACTGAATATGTATTTACTCGTTCTCTCTCTGAATGCAGCCCAACTTATAACATCAGCCTGACAGGAATAACAGTAGGAAGCAAGACCACTGATTTTGATCTCACAGCCATTTTCGACTCTAGCACTTCATTCACATACTTGAACGACCCAGTTTACAAAGTCATTACAGAAAACGTGAGTGAGAAACTAATTGTATGAGTTATCGATGGAGTGTGTTCTTTGTATTTTAAAACTGAATAATTTGCTTCTTTTGCAGTTCGATTCTGAAGCAAAAAGGCCGCGTATCAACCTGATGGCGAAATTCCTTTTGAGTACTGCTATGACTGCTATGGGATCAAGAAAAAAGAAGAGGTTGACTGAGTAATATGTTAAATGGGTGGTTATTTAGTTATATTCTGTTTTTTGTACTTTATATTCCCACAATACACATTAATAAACATTATAGTAACTTCTAACAACACACCAATTGTCCGCACACGCTTGTGCTCCCAAGTCTCAACACAAAATAGGAAAGAACTGAAAATGATGGTCAAATACGTCAAATTTTGTAAAATTTAGAATATCAGGAATACCCCTGAATAGCGAAAGACTCATTCTTTGTTCTTAGTTAAACATATTGTACTCATTCTTTTGAACAAATTGTCAAACACATAATGAGTATGGTAAATTTTGGCAAATCAAGAGCCTATATTCTATTTCTGAAACAACTGTATATATATAACTTTATATCAAAAACCTCAGTGCCATCAACTATATCATATAACTTGCACTAAACATGAGAAGTGGGAGGCGTAAAGGCGTACCTTTTCAAAGTTCTTGTGAATCAATAATACTTTAGTTAGAACCACGAAGCAGTATCATAGCTACTCAAGTTAGAGCTTTGGTGGTCTGCTAAATTTGCAGAGAACCCTTCGTCTTTCGGATGGAAAATCGTTTTCTTTTGGATTTGTCCACAAAATGAAACTTTTTCAGAGTATAAAATTAGATTTTAGAATAGCAGTTGTAGTTTTTTCCCCTCAAAATTTCCAACAATTAGCAACTCGCGTTGTTGCAAACACATCCAGCAAGCAGAGTCCTATTTCAGCAGATGTTACCCTAGAAAAGGGAAAATCAGAGAAAATTTGAGATAACCAATTGTAAGCAAAATGAAGAGACGCAGATGCTTCAAAGTAAAAGCAACTCAACCTTTGATGTTACCAAGTAGAATAATGAAGAAGAAGCAAACCCAGTAAATCAAAAGAAAATCAAAGCGTTTCCGATTCTACAAACGAAACAAATTAAGTTTAAAGGGAATCTAACAATTTAGATTAATTAGCAAAGAGAACATTGAAGAAGACATAAATCCAGCAAACCAAGCCAAAAGGTGCATCTACGGTAAGAGAATTTTATTTTATTTGCAGATCCAAGAAGCAAGATTTCCGATTGAAAGAAAAACCCATAAAAATTGATGAATGGGAAACGGAAAACATACAAAATAAAGGAATTAGAGAAAGGAGGTTACACCTTTTTGTTTGGAGGAGCAAATCATTGTGCAGCTGAAATGAAATTTCATAGAGCATAAAGAAAAGATCTTTAGAATCAGCTAATGTGGAAGATTGAAGATGTGGATCTTTTCTGTGAATCCAAAAACACACGTGGGCAAAAGAAGAAGAAACTGGAAGGAGTAAATTACCGATTTACCCTTTTGGTCATCTGAAGAAACCCATACTTATTAAGTATGACTAGATGATTCATTGCCCGTGCTGCGCACGGGCCCAACAATTTGGATACATTTTTTTGGGGGCAGGAAACCAATCTGGCTTAATAGATTTCATAAGAGCAAACTATTGCACTGCACCTAGCTGAATATGTTACAACTGAAATGCATATACACAAATTAGTAGCAGAAAGTAGCGATTACTTCAATGACACCAAAGATAACATCTTTGGACTGTATGCATTTTACAAACACACTAATCAGACCTTCAAAGGCCATCAGCAAAAAATATTCAAGAAAAAGTACAACTACCTATACATCCTAGATTACTTCCAGTAGATGCAATTTTTAACATTTCTGATCTTCTTCCGTTAGATTCTCTGGCCACAAGTATTGTCCCTTAGTGTTATATTCTGCCCTTTGAAGCATATGTATTCACATAGTAGTCCTCAAAACAGTAAGCTCAACTTAGATTTGATCTAATTTATTACTTGTTATATTTTGGTAAAAGCACTTATTGAAGATCGTAGACTCTAAAAATAGGTGGTAGTTCCTTTAGAGGCTTTCCTGAAAAGAGCTAAAGAATTTCTTAGTATGTGTAATCTTGTTCAATGGCTCAATGCAGCCAGACATTATAAATGAATAATAACATGAGCATAATCATACCCATACTTCTCAGAAATAATTCCACTCATATTTCAGAAGGCATGAAAACTTATATGATTCAAGTACCATGCATTTGTCATTACATGTCAATCGACAGAACTATGGATTCACATATTAGTTTTATGTTCCAGAAAAAGGATAATATGTATCTGGAATGGCGTGATAGAGAAGTGCGAGAAAAAATTGGCTAGATGGAAAACTCAATACTTATCAATGGGAGGGAGGTTGACCCTCATCAACTCGGTACTTAATGCTCTACCAACATACATGATGTCATTATTTCCTATTCCAGCAGGGGTCATCAAAAAATTGGATAGGATAAGAAGGAATTTTTTGTGGCAAGGTAACAGCGAGAAGAAGAGATTTCACCTGGTGAAATGGGAATCTGTGGTAACTGGGAAAAAGAATGGCGGATTGGGAATAAAAAATCTGATATTCCAAAGTGAAGCACTCAGAATGAAATGGTTGTGGAGGTACTCGTTTGAAGATCAGTTAATGTGGAAAAGAGTGGTAGGTGCCAAATATGAGGCGGAAGATAGTTGGATGACCAAGGATGTGACTTCACCTTATGGGGTCAGTTTATGGAGATCCATAAGAGAATTATGGGAGGAAGTCAAACTCAACTCCAAGGTGAAAGTGGGGAATGGGAACAAGACCAAATTCTGGAAAGATGAATGGCATGAGTCAGGTAATCTGGAACTCCTCTTTCCAGACATATATAACCTAGTTCTCTCACAACAAAGGACCATTGCAGAGATTTGGACAACACAGGGCTGGAATTTCCAGTTCAGAAGACATCTCAATGACTGGGAAGTGATGAGAGTGGCAGAATTTCTCAACATTGTTGGAAACTTCAATGGACTCCAGGCTGAAGAGGATGCATTATGGTGGAAAGGAAGCAGCAAAGGTATATTTAAAGTAGGTGCAGCTTACAGGTTGATGGAGCAACCAAGTCAACAGATTCCTATCTGGCCATGGAGACAAATTTGGAAAGGCAGAATTCCTTATAAAGTCTCATGTTTTATATGGCTGCTAGCTAAGGAAGCAGCTTTGACACAGGATAATGTTATGAAAA